AAGAAGAACCCGTCCAGAGGACCTATACAATTTCTTTTCCTTTTGACAGCATTTATTGTTTTTGATAGTATGTAAATATAATCTGAGGTTTAGACACAGGGAATCCATGTGCTCCGTACTGTGACACAGACTATTGTTATATTGCAACTAACTGGTAACACTGTAATGTTAGAAGGGTTGTAAAGAAAAAGGTGAGGCTAAAGGGTTTTGAGTTTAATGTAGCTAACTTGCATGGATCTGATCAGATTCTGTCCCCTGGCCCTTTTTTTTCTTCTTTACTTTCTTGCTCTGAGTTAGCAAAGTTGTAAAARTTGGTTTTGAAAAACCCAAAYTTAACTGTGTTCCAGTTGCAACTTGGAAAACCAATAGAATTTGTTACTATTTATGAAAAATGCTTTGAGTGTGGCTAATTTAAAGGGCTGAAAATCACCATAAAGGAAAAGGTCAATTATTTTTCTCTGCTGCTTTCAGGTCTGTTCATGCGCAGAGCAGCCATGTTGGATTTTAAGGTCAGGGTTGGTGAAGAATTTCTGACCATTTGAGCTTCATGGAGCTTTTCAGTTTTTACCACAAGGAGTTCATAAAAAATCTGAACACACAATAAATGTTATGTCAGCCTTGTTAGCATTTAACTCAGCAAGCTGGTTTGTCCAGTCGACTTTTTAGTATTTTAGACATGATGGTTTTGTAATTTAATTTAAAAAACAACAACAATTAATTCATATAWTTTTATAATGACAATAATATTATGTGGTGGGGTAGTTCTGCTTATATACTGTATATCTCGTGAATTTTTTAGAGATGTTCGATGTTGACTTTTTGCTGATATCTGATATGCCAATATTGTTCAACACTTAATTTCCGATTCCGATATTAACCGATATTACAAAGCGATATTAAGCTGACATCACATATCTTCTGTCAGGGACATTATGCCTGCTTTTTGACACACCACTGGATGCATTTCATATGTAAACATTGTCCGTACGAAAATAAAAACCGTTTCACTGAAGTTATGGGAAAAAGTGCTATATTTATTTTTTAACATTTTGTCTCAAACAATAGTTTGGATCGTGCTCTCCCTGAGATAATCCAGTTTGATGACGTCATCAATTGCATACGGGTGAACGTCTCTGGACCACAAGCATTTATTAACACATTTTGGTCAAATCCAGGTGTTAATTTATCTGGCTTTTGTTATGGGAAGAAAAACCGATACCGATATGTAGAGATTTTACATTTTTATGCTAATATCGGACCGATAATATCTGTAGGCCGATATCATCGGACGTCCCTAGAATTTTTATTTAATTTTATTTTTTCCTGGGATTCCTATTCCTTCGTGCATGTCAAGTTGTACAGATAGTCTGTAAATTGYACCAATTTCCTCCCATTTTGCAGGTAAACAGACGTAAAGGCCAATTTCACCTATTTTTCTTTTTTCAAAAACTCAACTTCAAATTCATTTAATGTCTCAGAATAAAACAAAAAAAAAGTAAAATAACTATTTCACACCCCCACTCGGCCACTAGAAATAAGTTCTCCACSTCTMCTTGTCCTCCTTTCCCTGCTCCTCTGTACTGCAGGCACTGTTATCTCCACCCCCTGTTTCTGTCTTTCAGTCCCCCCGCCTATGAGGAATATGGATTTTATGTGAAAATTACAGATTTTTAAAGGTCAAGATACAGCTAAAGGGGCTGAGTTGTACGTTCCTCTTCATGGTGACTTGTAACCCAGTTCAACACTTCCTGTTGCCCTCTTTCTTCACTGTTTGTTTATCTCTGCTTCCCTGGATTGTGAAGATTTGATCTTTCCTGCAGGAAGTGTTGCTCGCAGGCAGGAAGAGGGAAGTTCAGGTTTACTGATGAGAGCTCGCATGGAATTTGGTTTAGCTGACACGATCGGTGCTTAGTTAGGTGTCAGATGTGAGGCTGTGGAGTTTGAGGGAGGCGAAGACAAAGATGACAGTTGTGAGTGTGCAGACGTCAAAAATAACAGTTATTTACTTGCAATTATTGAAGGATTTAGTGCTATTTGCCCTCTTTACAGTTGTCTTGTCTTAAAGCACCTTTCTTCTATTGTCAAAAACACATAAATAAGCTAAGCTGACAAAAAAGATCATAAGAAAATTAAATTTCTTATACTTTGCTTTTTATTCTATAAAACTAAGTTGATTACCTAATTTCCCTCTGGGATCAATAAAGTTTTTTTGAATTTGAATTGAATTGAATTGATTGTTTGTGTTGTTTTATGAAGATTTATTGAATTGAATTGAATTGATTGTTTGTGTTGTTTTATGAAGATTTAGACACTAAGGACAAAAATAAACTTTTCATTTAGTTACTTAGCTAAGAAAACAGGATTGTATTCTTCTTAAATGTTTTATTTAAATGAAAAGAAAAATGAAATTCCCAGTAGAAGCTGTAGAGCATTTGATAAAATAAACATATTTACAACCTCAGCAGAAGTACTCGCTGAAAGACTGCATTTATATTTCCCTTCAGCTCACAGGGATTATAGTTGGTCGAGCTCAGCGTTTTWTTAAAATAAGAATTAATCTTCTCTGCAGGACCTGGGAGTGACACAGGAGCTTGAAGCAGAAGTAACAAGTTTATATTCATTTTCTCTGAATACGCCGCTTAGATTTTGTGTTTGTCTGTAAGTTGTTTGTCATTTTGTTCTGAATTGTTTTCTTAAAAATCTGTTAGAAGTAAAGTTCATGTACATGTGAAGAATAAACATRAAGTCAGTTAATTATACTCAAACCATATATTTCTGGAAATGATATATTTTTTTAATCGGTGTCTATTTTGGTCAGTATGTAATTCGGGTCCTCGAGGGCCAACATCCTGTAGGTTTTAAAGGTTTCTCTGCTCCARYACACCTGATTTGAATGAATGTGTTATTAACAGGCTTCAAACTGAACTGATTGATCATTAATATAAWTTTATTTTGTCTTGAACTCTACAGGTTCTGATCTTTTCTCAAACTCTTTAATATATTTGGGGAAAATAATGTCCTTCTGTTCACTTTGTGTTTCATTTTCAGAATTATTATGTTGATCATGTTCTGTAAAAGACTGTAATTTCCTTGTTATTTTTTTATTTTTTATTTGTAGATTTCAACTCTGCGGCGCCAAGGAAGAACTCTGTACCCCACAGTGCCTGAAAATGCTGAGCGGGAGGCCCACAGTCTGTTCGTCCAAGAGGTGAATAACATTTGAAGACCCAGAAATCCTTGCTTTTCTAATCCTGCAAAATATTTTAGTCAAACATATAATAAAGCATTTGTACAGTAATTTTAGGGGAAGGATTAAGCAAACAGAATGTGGTTGAGAGCACTGGGCTGAGCAGTCTGTTAAAACTTTATGAATCAAACTGTCTTGCAAAACGATTGAATGAAACAGCGTGCCAACGTTTTAAGTGAAGATGTTCTGTAATCTCTTTCTCAAAGTATGTGACCCTCAGATATGGCAACGCTAAAATTTAGCTTAATCAATTGACAGAGTTATAGCCATAAGGTTGATTATCTGTGGCGTCCATCTTCAATCAGGTGGTCTCCAAAAGTTTAACAGTTGTGGATGTTCATCCAGTGATTACTGTCTGAGAGTTTCATTAAAATCTATCCAGTCATTCAAGCCATATTTTGCTAACAGATAATATATGATCGTACCTTTTTATATCCACTTTAGTTGTAGACTTCAGTTCTTTTTAAGCAGCCATTAGATTGGAATGAAACATAATAAAAATAATGATGTCAATTATCCCTGTAAAATGTATTGATTCAGCTCAGAGCCACCGCTGGTTGTCCCTCTGAAGGCCCAACACCAGCTGACAGTTCACCACCAAGGTCGCAGCTCAGTGACCGGAGAGCCGTGTGTCTGCAGTCATAAAGATACAGAGACGCAGCGGTAGTGTTGTGTGACATCACGTGGCCAGCTGCGCAGACGAGCCTCTCTGTTTCCCCGTCCAGGTTGTGTTTCGTCTCTCTGCAGGGCCGCTTCTTGTAAACGGCGTGGATTTCTGTTGAACGGATAGCACCTATCAGTGGCTCTAACAATGAACAGATGTCTGCTTTCCAAGTAAACAAGGATAGAGATACACTCCCTACCAAAGGGGATGGTTAGGCCAAAGTGGGGTCACCGTACACTCCCTTTTTGTTTTTCCTCAAAAATGTTCCATCTAGTTTCATTTTGTACATTTCTTTATCTTGTTACAAATTCTTGTTGAACTTGTCATCCTGTCAGTAAGCTACATTTTTTGGGGTTTTTGTGACCAATTTGATGATTGCAGGGCTGTAAATGTTAGATTCTTCTAGGAAAAGAACAGTCTGTTTAGAAATAAATGTGACTAAAAGTTGAAAACTTGGTTTTATAAAATGATCAGACAAATCCTACAACAAACAGGAGAGAAGAGAGATTCTTGTACTCTTCAACTATCTTCAAAGCTACTCAGATAAAACTATTTCCACCTGTTTTTGATTACAAAACCTAACTTCAGACATGTTTGGATGCTTGGCTTGGTTCCTTACCCAACTTCCACAGTGCAATAGTCCAGTCCAGAAGTGGGCAATCCTGTGATTATTAATTGCAAAAAAACACCACAGACAGTTCCGCTCTGGTAATACCATACCATATACTGCAGTATTTTCTAAAGTTTATACCTTGGTATGAAAATGATTAATACTGGGCAGCTGATTGGCAACACTTTGAGGTATCAGAAGCTCACAAATGTCAMTAGAAACAGTAAAATAAGCAGTTTGACAGAGAAGATTTGGCAATTTTTTTCACAAGTTCAACCCACATTCTCAGCTCTATGCTCTTCCCACAGATGCATGTTCCTTACAAATGTGGCACCATTTAAAAGGGAAATTAACAGGCTTTCCAACAGTATAAGATTTATTGCCAAGAAGCGTATCACGACAAACAAAAATAATCCAATGAAAGCAAATTTCCTTACTTTTTGTGCCAAGTTTAGTTTAATCCTCAACTTTTATTATTGCACGTGGATGTGCGTCTGTCTGTTAATAGAATATTTCATGAACCACTAAATACATTTTAATGAAATTCTCAGAAAACGTATATCTACAACTGATTGGAGTCAGTCCAATACAAGATGACCGCTACAGCTTATTGAGGTATGGTAGCTGGTGGTAACAGAGTCATTCACAACTCATAGTCTGAGTGAACCTGCGCAGTGTTATTTTTTAGAGTTTGACCAAAACTGAGACGACTCCAGCATTTATCACCATTTATTAATCTTAGTTTAAAACGTTGGCAGGTGATATGCATTCCTTTAATTCGAGTCACTTGTAACTGTAAGACAGTGTGTCTTTTTGTTTTAATCTGACTCTGCTAACTACAAGATAGAACAATTTGTTTGCAAATTTGCTCGCGGCAAACTGAACTGCGAAGCAACAACTGATCTCCTCTGTCTCCTCAGTGCATTAAGACCTACAAGTCCGACTGGCATGTCGTCAACTATAAGTACGAGGACTACTCCGGTGATTTCCGACAGCTTCCAAAGTAAGTCTAAATCCTAGGCTCTGTTGGAAGCAGTGTTTGCAAAGCTAAATTTGTTGTGTGCAAAGACGTTGGTATGAGGGGCAAGCAGAAACAGGTACTCTGTAATATATGGATGYCACAGCTGTCATCTATTTTTGTTCCCTACTTCAGATAAATTCTAGTTGTTACCTAATTACAAGGATACATAAGTCTCATTTCCCTGACGGAGAGTGTTTCCTCTTTTATTGAGCTTTGCATCGTTTTCAGAAAACAGCCAATGTGGAAATTACCCTCATTGTCAAGAGATTATGTCATCAGTTTCAGCCTCCTCCCTGAGGAATATCTTGTTTTATCGTTAGGATACGAGCCGACAGCGTCCTTCTCACCTCAGCTGCTGCCAAATGTTTTCTAACTTAGTTCGGAGGAAACTAAAACAATGCAACAGGACACGGATCGCCTGTTAAAATGCTCGGCTCTATTTTCCGCTAAAGTGAGGTTTTCTTTTGGCACATTTTCCGGCATGCACCTTTTTTTCACAAGCTCTTACTGTAARTGCAGCATTTTAGCAACACTGAAATGTTCGCTTGCCAGGTTTACTTGCTGCCTTTCTTGAGAAAGCTTCAAAA